GTCTGTGACCACGCTCCCGACCACCCCTGATAGCGTTGCATTTGCGATCATAGTGATCAGAATAGCCATGGTTCCCTGCCCGATTTTGCAGATTAGGATCTCTTCGTTCGCACCGTGTGATTGTACCTGGACAGGAACCATAATGGTGACCGGCGGTGGAGTGGCACAGTGTTGTCGATGGTAAGAGCAGTGGCCGCCGAGTGTTAGTTGGCTTTTCTTGTCTCCTCCGGAATTAATTTTGACCTTGTAGTATAGAATTCAGGGAGTGGTGTAGATTGTTGTAGGAGAGTTGCAATATTTTCATAATTGTCATTCAAACCAGCGATGAGTCGTAGAACCAACCAATCACTAGTGACAGCCGTGACAGGAGCATCAACATTTGCAAGTTGATCTGAGAGATTTTTTAGTTCTTGTGCTGACATATTTGGAAAAGAATCCAGCTTGATGGTTTAAAGTTTTGTTCTAGATAAAGAGCCCTTGTGGGTTTGTTGTCAGTGAAGATGGTTTCCAAAGCTTGCCAAGCTTTTTCTACAGTAGTATTTGGGGTGAGAATTGTGATTGGTAGATCATTGGAAATTGTACTGTAGATCCATTGGATCTATTGTACATCCAATGTAAAACGATTGAATCAAGTCTCTTCCATAGTGTTGTATCCGCTGCTACACATTTGTCTTTCTCTTTCTCTGTAGGTTTTAGTGGAGTTGCTTCGGAAAGAATGATGTGGTCGATAACATCATAAGCACGACAATGGGTTTTGAATAGTTCTACCCAGGAGGTGTAGTGTCCGTTTTCCATCTCCAAGACAATGGGGATGAAATTCTTGATATTGGGTACTGTCAGAGAGCTGACAAGATGAAGAGAGGCCATGGAGATTGTTAAAGAAGTAGGGGAGAAAGAGATCGTGATAATGTAATACAAGGGAGTAAGAGGGTCACCGATTGATTGAAGGAGGGGGAGGAGACGTCGGTTGTGTCTTGAAGAAGCAGGAGTAAAGAAAAGCCAAACCAACCCTACTGCCATGCATGCTATTTACAAAGATGGGGATGACACACATCCCATTGGTAACAAACAGGGGTCTCGGCAAGAAGCAGGAGGATCACAGGGAGCTCGTCGAAATACCTCACGAGGTGGCAATAATGTGGGTGGTCGAGGACGCTCAAACAATAGAAGTGGAGGAAGAGGAAGGAACAATCACAGAGGTGGAGGCTCTTCCCCGCAGTACCCTTCACAGATGAGTCGTCAACCTCAATGGCCATGGCCTTGGGGTACATGGTCCATCCCTCCGTGTTCGTTCCCTACTGCACCATGGATGAGACCAAACAGTAGCTCACATCAAGGAGTCCTTGGTCAGGGTCCAAAGTCACAACAGGCATACACTGCTACTGGTACATCTCAGTCAAACTCTCCGCAGCCACCATCCCTCACTGACATTGAATCTGCAATGTACACTCTGGGATTGAATCCACCAGATCCTAACTGGTATATGGATACAGGAGCTTCCTCCCATATGACATCAGGTACAGGTAATCTCACATCTTATTTTAATTTGAGCAACAAACAAAATATCATTGTTGGAAATGGCAAGTTAGTTCCAATTCATGGTTATGGGCATTCTACTCTTAAACATCCTCATTCTCAGTTCACCTTGAAAAACGTCCTCCATGTTCCCCAAATTGTAAAAAATCTTGTTTCTGTAAGAAAATTTGTCAATGATAATCACGTGTCTGTTGAATTTGACCCATGGGGCTTTTCTGTGAAGGAATTACAGACGGGAGTCCAACTAATGAGATGTGACAGTCAAGAGGAACTCTATCCGGTCACCACTAGAGCTGCTCCTCATTCTGCTTTTTCTGCTTTCGCTCCAAGCCTATGGCATGCTCGCTTAGGCCATCCAGGAGCTCCAGATTTTCAATTTCTTAGATCAAATAATGACATTCAGTGTAATGCTCTTGATAATAAACGTTTATGTCCTTCTTGTCAATCTGGGAAGAATGTTAAATTACCATTTGTTTCATCTACTTCATACACTGTTATGCCATTTGATATTATTCATGCTGATATTTGGACTTCACCTGTTGTGAGTTCCATGGGTCATCGATTTTACCTTGTGATGGTAGATGATTTTACCAACTTTACCTGGTCATTTCCTTTAGCCAAAAAATCCCAAGTCATATCTGTGTTTAAAACTTTTCATGCCTTTGTTGAAACACAATTTACTTGCAAAATAAAATCCTTACAGTGTGACAACGGGGGTGAGTTCAATAACTCTTTGTTTATGGAGTTTTGTAAAACAAATGGGATTGTGTTTCGGTTCTCGTGTCCTCGTACATCACCACAGAATGGAAAAGCAGAACGTAAACTGAGAACACTAAATAATGTGGTGAGAACTCTGTTAACTCATGCTTCTATTCCACCATCGTTTTGGCCTCATGCCTTGCAACATGCCACATATTTACACAATATTTTGCCAACCAAAATTCTAAATAATAAATCTCCCTTAAAATGCCTTTATCAAAAGGATCCCTCATATTTAGAACTTAAGGTTTTTGGTTGCTTGTGTTTTCCTCTATTTCCATCTACTACCATTCACAAACTCCAACCCAGGTCTTCACCATGTGTATTTCTGGGACATCCGATCTCACAACGTGGCTATAAGTGTTTTGATATGTCAACAAACAAAATAATTGTCAGTAGACGTGTCATGTTTGATGAGACCAAATTTCCTTTTTCTTCACTTCATAGAACATCATCTAATTCTTATTCATTTCTGGATGATGACATTTCTCCATATGTGTATCAAGATGAACACATGGTCTCATCTTCTCCTGGTGTTTTCCAGCCTACCAACTCTCCACCAGCGTGTACCCCACCTGTTTCACCATCTCCTACACCTCCTAATTCACCTCAGGAAATCCCTCTCACACCTCCAATTCCTCCATCTACTCGACCTGTCACACGAAGTCAACATGGAATTTTTAAACCCAAAATTCCCTTTAATATGTCCACTTCGGTCTCTCGTTCACCTTTACCAAAAAATCCTCTTATTGCCCTTCGTGATGTGAATTGGAAACATGCTATGGAAGATGAGTTTAATGCTCTAATGAAAAATAAGACGTGGGAACTTGTACCACGACCACCAAATGTTAATATTATCAGGTCTATGTGGATTTTTGCTCATAAAGAGCGTTCTGACGGTTCACTTGAGAGGCATAAAGCCCGTCTTGTAGGTGATGGAAAAACACAACAAGTTGGCATTGATTGTGGGGACACATTTAGTCCAGTGGTGAAGCCTGCGACTATCAGAACTGTGCTGGGTATTGCTTTATCCAAATCTTGGTCTATTCACCAATTAGATGTAAAAAATGCTTTTTTACATGGAGAACTGAATGAGACCATCTATATGCATCAACCATTGGGGTTTAGAGACAAGTCACATCCAGATTACGTCTGTCTATTGAAGAAGTCCCTATATGGGCTCAAACAAGCCCCACGGGCTTGGTATACACGCTTTGCCAATTATGTTCAGAAAATGGGATTTGTACACAGTGTGTCAGATCACTCCTTATTTATTTATAAGAATGGAGCAGACATGGCATACCTGTTGATATACGTCGATGATATCATTCTAACAACATCATCTGATAATCTACGGGCATCTATTATCTCACAACTCAATTCTGAATTTGCTATGAAAGATTTGGGTCCATTAAGCTATTTCTTGGGAATTTCTGTCCACCGCCATCAACAGGGTCTTTTTTTATCTCAACGGAAATATGCAGCTGAAATTATTGACTGTGCAGGTATGTCGACTTGCAAACCAACTGCTACACCGGTTGATACCAAACCCAAGCTTAGCGCCTCGTCTAGCCCTCCATATGTTGATCCGTCTCATTATAGGAGTTTGGCAGGAGCCCTTCAATACCTAACGTTTACTAGACCTGATATCACGTATGCAGTCCAACAAGTATGCTTATTCATGCATGATCCCCGTAATGAACACATGAATGCTTTAAAACGCATTCTCAGATATGTTCAAGGGACTTTGGAGTTTGGTTTACACATTTATCCCTCCTCCTGTTCATCTCTTGTCTCCTTCACAGACGCTGATTGGGGAGGATGTCCTGATACAAGGCGGTCCACCTCCGGGTATTGTGTGTATCTTGGCAATAACTTGCTATCGTGGTCCGCTAAACGTCAACCTACATTGTCTCTATCCAGCACAGAGGCAGAGTATAGGGGCGTAGCCAATGTAGTTTCTGAATCTTGTTGGCTGCGAAATTTGTTAATGGAACTACATTGTCCAATTCAGAAGGCTACCATTGTTTATTGTGACAATGTAAGTGCAATATATTTAACCGGGAATCCAGTTCAACATCAACGGACGAAACATATTGAGCTGGACATACATTTTGTGAGAGAAAAGGTGGCGAAAGGACAAGTTCGTGTGCTACATATCCCATCTAGACATCAGATTGCAGATATTTTTACCAAAGGGTTACCATTAGTTCTTTTTGAAGATTTCCGAGCCAGTCTCAACATACGTGCACCTCCAGTTTCGACTGTGGGGGTGTGTTAGATATCGAAGATATTTTGTATTTATTAGTATATAATCTTTGTATATTTAGAGATAATTATGATTGATTAGGTATCCCTTAATTTGAGGAACTTCCATTCTGGATTGGATCCTGGTGTTGTATATGTACTGAGGTTTTCTAATGAGAAAAGGGAGCGTTTCCGTTTTCAGGCTGCTAGGATTGTGAGGGTCAAATATCGTTCTCAGATACCATAAGAGAATTGGCCAAAGAATCTCCGTAATCTCATTAGTCATCACTATAAATAGTTACATAGTGGATACAAATATTAACAGATGACTACCCTGACTACTAGATAATATACATAACTGATACAAAGGTTTCCTAGTCTAATAAGATATAAACTACAATCATAGACCAAGGTCTTTTACAGTGAGGTCACATCTAAAATGAAAACATTTAATTGACCAACAAACTGCAACAGTTTTCATACACATGTTACATTGTTACATATTACATACACTGGCTACTGAAACACAATATATAACAACACTACAAGTCTACACTACCACACATTAGTCCAATTAAAACATACAGGGTCTTTTAAACCAAGAGTTTTAGAATCCTACACTTCATTTTCATCTTCCACGTCATCATCATCATCAACATCAACATCAACATCATCTTGTTGAAAAATCCACTGCTCAAGTTCATCAACCTCCTCATAATCATGCATATAAATATCATCCAAATTATCCCACTTATCAGTCCCAAGCTCTTCCCCACGTGTCATCAAATGCAAAAACGGTCTATTCAAACCCAACGACTCAACCAGCTCATGATTCATAGCCGCCGCCACCCCCAACCACCTCAACCCAGGAAAATACGGTCTCTTCAACCACTGAAAACCAAGCTTCGAAATCCCACCACAGTTATAAATATCCAACGACCTCAAACTACTCCCATGCCACCTGTCACCATCTGCCATCGTCATCGACGCCAACGCCATCACCGCCATGTCACCGATGAGCGGACACTGTCGCATCCTTAGGTCAACAAGCGGAATCCGATTCTTCACAAGCAAAAGCACACCCGCATTCGTAAGATCCGGTAAATTAGACAAATCCAACTCCCGTAATCCCCGATTCGACCCATTGTTAAAAAGAGAAGAAATACACCTACATGTCAACCTCTTACACCCTCTAATTGATAACTTAACCAAAGTGCTATTTTCACCTTTATTTAAATACGACAAACCCACGTCGCTCACATCTGTTCCATCTAACAACAAAGTTTTAAGCTTCGGAAGTTTGCTAATGGATTCAACCGCTTTATCACCGATGTTTCTAGAGTCTCTAAAGTCAAGCACACTGAGATCCGTATTAAGTGCTAATTGTAAAACGGCTGAATTCGTTAAGAGGTTACAACATCTTAAGCTCACGAGAGTCAACGCGAGGGAAGTGGCGTACATGTCGTGGAAAACAAGATCGGTCATGCGGGTCCCGTTGAAGACTTTGAGTTTGTATAGGTTTTTGCACGCGTGGAGTAAAGTTTTGAAACCGGTATCGGTGACCTGGCAGAACCCCGCGAGACATATCGCTTCGATGCTTGTACATCTGTCAGCCATGAATAAAATGCCTTGATCTGTAACTCGTCTGAAGAAAGTTGGATTGAATTCTTGGCTACGGATAAGTGAGAGGTGTTTTAATCTTCCGTGTTTGTCGAGTAACTGAAGGCCTTCGTCTGTAAGGTCGAATGTGAGTCCGGGTTCTACAATGGGTTGATCGCGAAGGTCTAAATGGGTTAAGTGGATGAGAGCTGATGAGATTATGTTGATCATGGTGTTGGAAATGTAATCGACTGAAAGGGAGAGTTTATGGATGTTTGGAAATATGGGAGGGGGGATGTTAATGTTATGATTTGGTTGATGATGTGGCGATGTTGTTGGGGTTAGCAACTCGGTTACCATTAACTGAGTTATGTATCCGATTTGAAGGTAAGTGAGTTTTGTGGAAGCTAAAGTCCATACACGTGCGAAATCGGGACGCCGAAATATTGAGACATCAAACATTAAAATAAGTTCCTGAGAAAAGAAATATAAAAGTTGAAGGAAATAAATATATTGATTAAAATGGAGCTAACTTAATGGTCCCATAAGTGTGATGTTTTTATTGCATTTAAGAAGTGACTTTGGTGATGAATTTGAAACCTTACTTCCAATTGAGTGCAACCCCTGAGTAACTCTTCTAGGTCACAAACATCATGTAAGTGTCCTCGATTATCAGCTATAGAACTCACATACAGAGACCTGGAGAGGATGTTATTAATGCTGCTAATTAATTGTGTAAACTTGAAATTTTTTTATCAATAAACATGTTTAGATTCTGTAGGATCTAGCATATGAATTTGAGTCTATATTATATTGGTGGTTTGTTTACGAAGTTAATCTGACGATAACTTATCTAAAAGGCAAAACAGTTTATGTAAATGTTGAAAAAGAAAATTAGTTTTATGATCTCAAAAGTCAAAATCTACATCTTTTAGTCATGGATTAACCTCTTTGTTTGGGATTTGGTAGTAGTAATCTGGATCCCGTTGTAAAATATAATTTGGAAGTCATTTAAACAGCTATAATAAGAAAGAACAATAAAAAAATTGAACATCAAAAACCTCATCTCTAACTATCTATGTTACACATAGAGGAAGTAATAGAGAATTGAGAGGGATTACAGTGAACCATTTGCCAGAAAATGTGTTCATCAAATTATTCTGAAAGATTTTACTTTCAGTTTGGAAGATGGAATTAGTCCTCTTTCGTGTGAGGGAAATAAGGATTTGCGTATAATTGACGATAATTCAAACTATATTTGGATTATTACAGGTTCGTATAGCGAAAACCTAGAAAAACATATTTCGGATCAGAGAAACCTAATTTTTGTGGAATCAAACATAGTCGTATACATGATGACTTAAGGAAATAGACAACAACCTTAGGTGTTTGCATCGTGCTCCGACCTCAGAAAGAAGCCTCCCGCTAAATTTGAAGCAATTCCGAAGCGACAGTTCAAGCAATCCAGGCTGAAGAAGATAATCGATCGAAGATTCATTCAGCCTCCTACAGTCTAGTTTTAGGCTTCGAAGCGAAGCGTTCGGTAGCAACAACCCTCGTAAACGATCAATTGGGGGTGCAATTTCCTGGGGAAACATATTGGTTCCCGAAAAAAAAAATCAATCAATCAATCAAAGTGAAGATTAAAGGCAGATCATTTAAAAAAAAAAAAAAAGTTTCTATCGTTATGTATATCAACAGAATCAATATATTACCATCAATGCTGCAATTTCCTTTTTCTATAAACGAAATAACAGTTATTTTACAATTTAATGGGATAGAAGTTCATTACGAGAAGGTGGAAATTTGGGAGGAATTTGAAAATTTCTTGAGCGCAAACGCGAAAGCTTTGGCAAGTGAGGGAGATGGCGCAGATCGAAGATACATCAAGTTTCGTCATTATTGTGGCGACGACTTCCGACGAGAGTTGATCGAGACACATTTTTCCACCGTTCTGCTCCGCCGGCGATTTGTTCTTCACTTTCACCCTCCGATTCGAGGATTCCGCCATTTTATGCCACTCACACACAGATCCTTATCTTCGGCTGAAAATCAGGTGGGAGGAAGGGATTTAGGACAATAACTGCATCGGATCTAAAAAGTGATTTCATATATAGATGTTTTGAAGAAAAAAACCAGATATATTGCGTGTGCGTGTATTTTGACTATTTTCTTATTTTTTGTTTTACTTTGTTTGTTTTGTTAATTCCCAAAACGATAATACTATGGATTAAATATAGGGGAAAATACAAATCTAGTAATAATCCTTAATTACTTATCAAAAAATAGCAAAAAAAAACCACTTAGCCAAAAATAGCCCACAATAGAGTAGTCAACCTACAGTTGACTACTATTTTCCGCAGTCGACTCCTCTTTTCCCCTAAGACTACTCTTTTCCCCTAATGGGCTACTGTTTCACGGGTCCGTTTATTTATTAGTCCAAACAGTGGCGGACCTTAGTGGGACATTTGGGGTCCCGGGCCACTGCTCAATTACCGGCTCGCAGTGTATTTTTTTTTTTTTTTCTATTAGGTGCACCCGCTTGAAGTACAAGGGACACCCCTACTAAAACAGTCTGCGTCCGCCACTGAGTCCAAAGTATATAATGTAAAAAATTTCAGATTAGGTCATTTTTTTCTATTTTTTTGTTGGTTTGGCTACTTTTTTCTCTCAATTGAGCACCCGAAGAACAACCAGGTTTGTCTACTTTTCATCAAAATTTTACCGTGTTTGTGATTAGGAGTATGTTTTGTATATGGGGTTAAGTTTTATTTGAAAAAAATCGAAAAAATATATATATAAAACTGTAGGTTTCATACGAAACCTACGGTGTACAAGTGCCCAATGCACAGTTTGTGCAGTGTCAACTTGTACACCTACGGTTTCGTATGAACCGTACGGAATTTTTTTTTTTTACAAAACAGTAGATTAAACCCCAAAACCGTAGCTTTTTTGACAAAACAGTAGATTAAACCCCAAAACAGTAGACTTTTAAAAAAAAAAAAAAAAACATATTTTTTTCCCAAAACCGTAGGCTACGGTTTGGGAAACCGTAGCTAAACTGAGAGGAAACCGTAGGTTTTAAAAAACCTACGGTTTTGTTTCTTAGAAATGAAAAAAAAAATTTATACAAAACACGAAACGTAGACGAATTGGCGAAACAGTAGACGAATATAGAAACCTATGGTTTCGTGGGCTATATTTGGACATTTACTAATTTTTGGCTAAAAATTGCTAATCACTTCCTTAATTTGGCTAGATTAGTAATTACCCCTTAAATATACCACTACAATTATTAAAAAAAATTAAGCTAATCTTTTTTTTTTTAAGTTAACATTTTTATTAAAATTGTAATCGTTTTTGCCAATGTCCTAAAAACTCGCTATGGCCTCATCAAGTGGTATAATGACAATTGAATTCATATATAATAATTTGCTTATGACATTGACATTTATTCGGTAATTTTTCTTGTATATCCAATGATATGTTTGGATAGTTGAATAAATGTCATAAGCCAATTATTGTGTATGAATTCAATTATTGTATATGAATTATCTAAATTATACCGATAAAAAAATTCGTACTGATAATATTAAAGATAATTGATCGACTAAAGTTGTTAACGTGGTTAAATATTGAGCACCGTGACTTCAACATTTGGGATTAAGATTGAGAATTTTGGAATCAAGATTGAGTATTTGGGTTAGAGTTGAGCATTTGGCCTAATGCGTTCCGGGTCTCTAAAACATGACTAAATACATTCAATTGGATGTGTTGGTGGAGCTGAATGCGCTCCAAACTTAGCTAAATGTAATCATTGTCATGAAGAATGTATTGGGTTGATCAATGGGTGTCCATGAATGTGCTCAAGGAAGAGAATGCGCTCTAGGCTCTGCTAAAGGTCATCTATCATCATGAAAGATACATGAGATTAATCATGGAAGCTCATGGATGCATTGCATACATGAAAGATGTGTTTCTAGGTGCATGGCGTCTTGTGATTGGTTGACATCCATTTGAACCTATGAATGGATGGGTTTGACTTATCGGGCTATAAATAGGGGTTGCTAGTTAGAATTCATAGATGATCTTTTGTGGTCTTCACATAGTCTTTGTGAGGTCTTTGGTCCGTCTTTGATTGTATTGTTACTTTGTTTGAGCTCATGAATAAGAATAATTGTGGTCGTAGGTCACACTGAAAGAACCACATTATATATTATGATTGTGTGTGCTTTCTCATTTACTTCATGGCAATCATTCTTAGTTCTTGGAACCAAAATCTCAATTAAGAAACATATAAACGTCGCTTCTAGATGCCTTCGTCAGCTGGACTTTAATAATAACACAAACAATGTTGAATATGATGGAACCAAATACATTGATATTTGAAATATTTATTTGATCAAAATGATTTCATTGTTAACAACAAACAACGATTTATACAAGAGATTTATAAGTAAATGATGAACGGACCGGACTAATTTCCGCTAAGACACTATTTCTACAAACAAAAAAAAAAAAAAACAACATAAGCATGCTCTTGTATCTGAATTAAAATGTTTATATTAATTTAGTGAATATTTGTTTTTCGGGAATTAACAACATTTGATGTGTAAAGTAGTAGTATACTATAAAGTATAAACCATATACTACATAATTATGCATGATGCATCATACAATGTATATATCATATAGTGCATACTATATATTATATATTATGTTATATTTATTACATATTAACGAATACTTTTACTGATGTGGACTATACATTACATGACTCTAAAGATTGGCATAGTGGGAAATACTTGCATCCTTGGTTTAAAAAGTTACACGTCTATTATCAACTTCCATCAACTAATTTCTCAAAATTTTCAAATACCCTGATAATTCAGAAAAAAGACCATACACTGCATTCCGTTTTCCACAGGTTTTCCCTATTTTATCATCATCAATATACATTTTGAGCATCTTAATAAAACTATTGTTGCTTCATGATGGTGTTGTTGAGCTTTTCCACTATACTCAAAAGCGTAGCATTCCCTTCACAAGCTTCCCTCAATACCATAAACCTCCTTTCTATCTCAGGGAGTAACAACAAATCTTCTGCTTGATCCAGTTTTTGATAACTTGTTGCCTTTGTATATTGTATTAGTTTGACCATCATACCCTATAATAAATATCATTTACACAACATATATAAATTTATAACCATACCCCTCAAAATTTATAAAATAAAAAACTAAAACATACCTCATGCTCTGATTTACGTGAATAGTCACGAAGGATAGATTTGGCCAACTTATTTCGCAATGAAACTTTATCACCAACATGATCACCAAATATGAAATACGATAAATGGTGAATAACCAATGTGAATGAAACTGAATTTCTTGTTACTGATTTATCAAGAGCTCCACAAACCCATGATTTCACATATGCTTCCAGAATCATTTCATCATCCTGTGTACATAAATAAAACTATATTATACATTTTGGAACTTCAATTTAATTGCATAAAAAACTAAACAAAAAAAATCTTACTTACCTCGGGAGGTTCTAAGTAACCTTCCTCTTGGGATAAACATTTCTCTAATGGTGGCAAAAGCTCAAGAGCTCTAATATTTGATAATGCATTCCAAGTAGAAAGTCGAATTTGCCCTCCAACACATCTATGCAAATACATTGAAATTTGTCTCCCATATAACAAATTACCATATGATGCTCCAGCAAAATTCTCCACAAGAGTTTCTATAAATGTGGTGTAACTATCGTGTATCTCCTGGTCAAACTTCAAAAAGTCAACGCTATTCTTTGACCCGATTTCAGAAATTTTTTTATCAAGAATTTTCCCGTAAGACTCCTGTAAAGTGCTGTAAACATCCCTAGTTTTCTCCTCTTCTAAAAGATCCAACCCCGCGAATAAAGTTACAGATAAAACATGAAGTTTCCAAATGACGGGAACGCCCTTGATGGAATTTGAAGAAACGTGATTGGATATTGCTTCAAGACCTAAAAGAAAGAAAAGCCCGGATCTTGCACCTTCAGGGAAGGTAGGTTTGACCGGAAGGTTGACCAAGTCAACGGTGCAGATCGGACTGAGGAACCAATGATTGGGAAGTGGTAGCCGTTGATGAGCCCATTCGGTTACCATAGTTGACTGAATCGATTGGTCAACGTCTTCCTGAATGGTGTCGAGTGAAAATCTGGTCTTTTTGGAACTCGGATCGCTGGGTTTGACTTTTGATTTTGACTTTGACTTTTTTATATTCAGCCATCTGTTCTTATAATGAGAGATTAAATTCTCACTAAATGTTAACAACTCCTCTTCAGTATACTCCCACTCAAATGTTTTTTGATCAAGGGAATTACGAATACTGACATCAAGAAACTTGAGATTTGATGGTTGTAGTAAAGTATCAAGTGTTTTGTCCATTATACCCCTGTCCCTGGGTCCCACGAGTAAAAGTAAGTCAAAAAGACAACTTATTCTCTCCACTGTAACTTCATTTGTGGGGTTTTTAAAATATATCTCAACTAACTGTAAAACCAATCTTGCGTCCATTTGGGCAACCAAAATGTTTGAGGACCAAAAACCACCGCCAGCTGCCCCCCATCCGACACCGACACCTGGCGCGGGCCCGCCTCTTCCGAACATTTCAACAGATTGTGAGAGTTGACCAGCAGAAGAAGTCAACTTCATGAAAGTTGTCATCTCAGATGTACAACACTCAAGTATGCCATCAGTAAGAATTTTCTCATGGATTGTTATATTGTCATGCTCGATTGAGGAAACTTTGATCTCAATGTTGTTTAGGTTAATCAACTTATTGATTAAGACAACAACGCTTATTAACCCATTAAGGCAACACACAGAGGCTAATGATGTTTCTTGGTCGCTTTCATGTCTACATTGACTCAGAAAGTCAAAGAAGGAATCTTTGTTGACTTTGTTAAAGCTCAAAAGCTCATTCTTGATTATGTGTAGTCCAATCTTTGGGACAAAATCGGGTAGCCATGGAAGCTTCTTAGAGTTATCTTCAGGAAACACACTTTTGAGAACACCAAAAAGCATGTGGAAAACAGCCGAAATCACCCATAACATGG